TTGGTTCTTTCTCCACCTTTTCCAGATTCTCAGGTAATCTTACTTTCCATATGTTTTCTCATGCCCAAAAGACTTAAATGAAACAGAATATAAAATACTTTAGTCTTTATAATGCACTCTTAAAACACTCCAAACTGGAAAGTATGGGAAAGCTTGGCTAAAATACAACGAATGACCTTAGTACTGATTTTTCTCCTTGACGTCCCAACAGCCCTCTAAAGAACACATTCAGATTTTTTTTTCTATCTGGATGAAGCAATCTTACTAAGTTTATATAAATTCTAAGACATTCTTGTACCAGGCTCACCACTATCCCCCACCCCCTTACTAAGCTATTCTCCCCTGCAACAAATGAAAGCCAAACACTAAGGATCCAAAGGCTCCTGTCAGCAGCCTAAGGACCAAAGCGCCCCAGCAGGCTAGAGGTGGAATATGGGATTGCTCCCATTTAAAGCCATGGGCTAGACACATTGCCCAATTCAAGTAGGATGCTTGAAACAGGATGCTCGAAACAGGATGCTCAATTGTAGCAGAAAGGGAACAATCTCCAGCCAAAGCATTTTATTATTTAGTGGCTCCCAAAATATCTCTTGCCTAGGCCCTACTGTAATTTGATCCAGGACACACTGAGGGATAATGTTCATCGTAGCATTAGCTCAGACTAAGTTTTTCCCTCCTCATGCAAAGATCTTCAGCGTAAGCCATTTGGGTTTTAAATAGACTGAGCGCAGGTGATGTTCAAGCCCACACTGCAACAGAAGGTAGGTGTCTGAGTGAGAGCAACTCACTTCCTCCCAAATCCACTCTCCGTGTGTAGCTCCAAGATTGCTTTGGGATGTGTTTGCTTTCATCTGTGTTAAACTAGTAAATCTGACCATTCTGATCAAGAAACATTACAGAAACCAACCTTACGAGATGTACTACCAATCAACAGCGCTGCTTCATCTTCCTGTACTGAGATTTGCCTGTAAAACTGCCACGCTGCTGCACGCTTTGTAACTACATTAACCGTAACATCAAGACAGTATTTTCCTCACCAGGTTTCAAATGAGTGGATATAAATAAAGATGATCTTCTTGGCTTCTATGTAGCGTCCTTCTCAAATCTCACGTGGTTCTTCATTTGCTTGTTTTTTTGTTGCTATTTTTTTAAAATTAATTTCTATGCTTAGTCTTTTTCTAGAAATTAAAAGTGGCAGATAGAGACACAACTGCTGCATGAAGAAGGTCTTCCCTTCTTAATTAGATATGCCCACATTGTAACTGTTTCCTTACTGGTGACTGAGCACTGGAGCAGGTTGCCCAGCGAGGTTGTGGAGTCTCCATCCTTGGAGATCTTCAAAAGCCATCTGGACAGAATCCTGGGCAGCCTGTTTTAGGAGACCCTGCATGAGCAGGGGTGTTGGACTAGATGATCTCCAGAGGTCCCTTCCAGCCTCAACCCTTCTGTGATTCTCTGGTCTTAGGCAACAGAATTACTAAAGCTGCCTCTCACAACAGCAAGGTGGGCCACTTCTTCCAGGAATAATAAAGAGCAAAATATAACTCAGCACCAGAACTGCTTATGTGCATTTACATTATCTCTACTCACCTGAACCTAGTTTAAGCAGTTTTTCCTTTATTAAGATGCCGGGTAACACACTTTGCCCATATTTACTTATTCTCCCTCCCCCAGATATGTCACTGTAGTGCTGTGATTTTCCTGTCACCAATGCATAAGGCCTTTTGCTTTACAGGACTCTTGTTGAGCGTGCATTTCACATAGCTGCCTCTACAGTCAAACAGAGAGCAGGACCCTGTTGGTTTAGCATAGGCTGGTGCATGACCCAAAAAGCACTAAAAGGCTTTGAGTTCTGTTTTCCTCCTTACAAGGTTATGACTTGATTCCAAATAGAATTTTCCCAGATATGAAAATATCAATAGAGGTTTTTAAGGATTCAGTTCAAATAGTTACACAATCCACTCACTGAAGCAGAAAACACCATTTCTAAATGAGCTAAGTGGTAATCTCCTGAAACTATCTCAGCTAATTTTTTTAATATTAGAAGCAATTCCTCATTATTAATGCAACTGCAGAAGCCTGCATGCCATCTGATCTCGACAGTGAAAATGCCTGCTTTGTGCTGTATGGGGTAAGTACAGCTGTAGGTAAATCAATCAGGCTTATAAAAGTAATGATCTTCTTGACCATGGTCTCTTTTATTCATTCAGTGCTAATGCATAGTTCATGTATGCGTAAAAGTAATATTTTTTCATCTTCTGACCTCTTTATCACTGTGACCAACCCTCTAATTATTAAGTATTTTGCACCATGTATCTCAGTATAAAAACAGAAGCCAAGTCACAGGTCATGGAGGCAACACCATTATTAACATCAATGAAACTAAATCACTCTATCCTGAACTTTTATTGTAAGCTACTTGTGCACACAAAATTAGTATGCCTAAAATCATGTCTCTTTAACAGCACTGGAGATACCTATCCCAACTGTAGATTAAGATGACTTAATTTAGCCCTAATGTTATCGTGCATAATGGAAAAAGTAAAATGAAGAAGGAACAAAATAAAACTGTAAAGTAATACGAAGGCTTAAACGACAGTACTGTCGAACAAAAGCTGTTGAACTGCATTGTTTTAAAAGGACTGAAGGGGTTGGAGATCTTTGAGTCTTTGTTTTTCACAGCATTCCTATTTTAAAAATAATTTCTAGTGAATTTTGCATGAATGGAAAGACTCTGAAAGATAAATAGCAAAATAGCTTAAGTCACCTGTAGTGCAGTGGTTCAGCCAATTTTCAATTTGTTCAAGTCTTTGCAGTTTAGATCTATATTCTTCCACCATCCAGTCTAAGTTGGGATTTTAATAGAGGCCATCAACCATATTGAACTCTGTCCATGAGGTGACTACATTGTAAAATGCCCAAAACACCCACCCTAAAAAAAAGAAAACCCCCAAACCAAAAAAGACCCCACAATACAACAAAAAACAGAAAACCAAAACATAAGCCAAAGGTTAACCTGCTTACTTCCAAGAATGTGTCTGTATAACTGTAATGGTATTAGCTTCAACTTCAAGAACCAGAACTCTGCAGTTTAAAAGCAAAAGAGGTTGCATCTACCAAACTTAAGAAAACAGAATAATATCAACCGAAAGACTCACCCTGCAGGGACTGTGTCCGAAAAGAAATTCTCACCTAAGTCACCCTCTTCAGTATCTTGCCAATTTTAGCCAGTATTTTCACACACTCTTGCCTGAAGTTAGGCACTACAGCTGCTCTGCCATGCAAGCTGGTGGTACAAAGAACCTCTGCGAAAACAGTGCCCTGAAAACGTTGGGACTAGGACCCAAGGACACAGAGATACAGACATGAAAATTCAAAAGTGGCTACTTATTTTGCATGTCTACAGAAATTCATACTTAGTGCTACTTTTTTCAGAGTCTGAACATTGACTGTTTTATTAATCATGATGAATGCAATTGCAATACAAGCTTAATTCCATAGGAACAACTTGGGGAAAAGAAAAACTTCGTATTCGATCACATACATTTGGGTATTTACCCACGTATGTCTCAAAAAAAGCTGCCATTGTCCAATAGCCCTCTACTTCTGTAACAGCATTCAGTGTTCTTGCAATATTAGGGCACAAATTCAGTTCAGTATTCTGATAATTAACCAAGATCATTTCTGAAAGGTTTGGAAAGTCAAATACTTAAAGTGTTTCTTTTTTTACCTGCAACACATATAAACACCTAGTGCAGTAAAACAGGCCAAACAAAGGCCTGACCTCATTATACCTGTTCCTGCATTTGACTGCATGAAAGTTTATTACAGATTAAAAAAAGGGGAAAAAAATCCACTTGACTTCAAGGCTGCCCAGTCTTCAGCAATTACAGTGTGTGTGACATGAAGCCAGAATTAGCAATAGTTTGGTGCAACGCAACGAAACACAGCTTTACACTATAAAGCTTTTCTCTTCACTGCGGTTCCCCTTTCATGTCTGGAGCTCCATTTCTGCATGCTTTCTGTTCAAACATGTATTAGGAGTCCTGCTGTAACAAGCTGCTTTTTCCTTCTGTAGAAAGTGCAATTGTTCTGCAAACTTGCTATTTAGCCGAGACCTTTTCGTACTGAGCAGTCCCAGTACTATATTAAGACAAGCGTGTTTTGCAACAAACTGACCTGTGAAGCTGAATACATTCTGGTTTTCCTCACGTGAGAGATAAATACATTCAGCTATTCCCTGCAAAGACCTCCAGAAAGATATCTTGCCTGTGTGATGCTACTCAAAGTTTATACCTGGGACGACTTTGTTTGGAGACACTTAAACATATATAAAACTAAGTCCAGCCAGGAAATATGTGTTTGTCATAAAGTGATGAAAACAAACTGGCCCAGCTAATATACTCAGCAATGCTGAAAATGTGAGAGTGCTGCATGCAAAATCCAACCATAAACTCAAGCGCTAATTTCGCAGCCACAGGCAGCTTATAGCTGCTAGCTGCCTGTTGGGCTGCCACAGAACTGGGCTCTTCACAAATCAACCAGGAAGGAAGCAGTTACTAATTAAAGAAAACAAAAGCAATATTAATTATAGTGCAACTTAAGAGAATTCTCCCCTGAGAAATCATCACTGTTTGTTAATGAATACAGAGCAGCTGACTTTGTCAAGTTTCTTTAAACACAAGACTCTGCAGTAGGCTGTCACGAGCGCTAAACATATGTATCATGATAACGCAGGATATTCCAGAATCCGTAGCATGTTTTGCCACCTGGGGTTTTCAAAGCTTTGGTATTTCATACAGTTGCATGTTTATTTCTATAAAAACAAAATTAAGTGAAAACTTGGTATTTCAAAACAAATGTATGCTTTTTGCCCAAGTAAAATACACCACAGATGAACAACTGCAATTGCCCTTAAAATACTTTCAAAATAAAAAATATCAGTCTTTATTAAAGGAAAGTTGACCAGCTTAATAAAGCTATTAATGCCACGCACTTACTTGCAGGTGATGGGGTGCTGCATCCACTCGGTGGGTGACTCTGGAGTCCATGCAGGGAAGGCAGTGACAGTCCACCGATGACTGGAGGAAAAAGTAATGGATATGGCGCTGCTGGATAGTGAGTCATATGTCCATTTACTGCTGGTACTGGACATGTGCGGCTGCTGGTTGTCATGTTAATACCTCACAGTGTATAAATATGTTGCATCACTCCAGCCCAGCAAATAGATACTTGAACTTGTGAATGGAGAAGGCTGCCAAGCCTGCAGGTACTACTTGAGCTGGGCTGTGCGATGATGTGAAAAGATACTTCACTAGATTAGATCCGTCCTATATTTCATTGCTGCTTCCTACTGTTTGCTTTGCTAGTACATTCTTGCTCTGCAGACCGTGGACAGAAACTCTTCTTATTCTGTCAATTCAGGGTGCAGTTCAGTTGTTTATGCAAATGTTTGTCTGGGAGGACAATTGCACTCTACAGATGCATGCTGATATAGCCTGTGGGGGAAGAAAACAATATATTGGTTATATATATTATATATATAGCATATATGTATGTAGAAAACGTTTCTGTCTTTTGCCGTTTTTTGTTAAGTGATTATCTATTTTCCAGTGTCCTGGAAGATCAGTTTCATGGCTACCTAGGGGTAAAAGTCTTATTCTACTGAAGGTAACAGCAGAAAACCCATTAACTGGATTTCACTGCCCAATGTTTTACATCAAAAGCAATGTCAAGTCAGACATAACCTGGTCTGAAAACTACCATTTTATAAACACACATCATTAATTGCCTGATATACTGATACTGGAGGAGAAAAACAACTTCTGAAAAATTTCTATGTACATGAAAAGTTTCAGTTCCACTCTAGAAATCTCATCCCCATAAAAGTTATGTAACAAACTGCACTGGGGAACCTCTCCACTCAGCTCCAATGCCATGTCTCAGTTCAGGCAGTGGGGAACTGTTTCTGAGGGTGAACTTGCATTAGGTTGGTAAAACACTAGCTGGTTTACCAATTATTGTTCTCACAAAGGATAGTTAGTTTATCTTATTATCACTTAAGAGATTCCTCATGAACTTTTTGAAGTTCATGCCCCTAGCCTTCACCCCTCAGGGGTTTAGCAGCATCTTAGTCTTAAGAGACTGAGAACCTTTAACTGTCTCTACCACCAAATGAATAAAATAGAAGCCTCCAGCGCCGTCCCCTCTACCCTTCCCAATGCTTTTCCTCAGTTCCTTTGCTCCCTCACCTCTCCATCCCAACCTGGCAGGTTTCTGTCCTTCAGTCATGCCAAAGACACAATCAGCTGTTAGCGTGCTGCACCATCTAATCTAAATCTGCGGTGATGGTGGATGGTGAAGCTATTTTCACCATCTGCCTATTTACTGATTTATATATTTTAGTGTTTTGCTTCCACCGGTTATGGTTACAAAGCAAAATTAATAACCCCATGTTTCCCAGACCGCTCCTTCTTTCGTCACTCAACTCCAGGGTCCTGGGGAAACGCATCATGGTAATAAGTGGATTAATTACCTTGAACACAAGGTAAATCTGCCCTTAAACTGCCAACATGTCTACTGCTGCAAGTTTTAGCTGTCTTACTTCTAGCGCGCTCTGGCCTGGAAGAACACTCTGAGCATCACGAGCAGGGAGACACCTTCCTGTCTGTTTCATCCAAACGGCTGGCCGCTACAGAGGGTTCCTCATTTTCTCAGTCTCTAGATTTAAAGCCTTAGGCTGAGAACAGGGTATCTTCTGTGCTATTCTGAATGGTGAAATTTTCTCCCTCTCATAGCTGTTCAAATTTATGTACAGTGAACACGCACCACTACTAAGTCCTCTTGGTGTCTTGAGAGCTACTGGAAACAGTACAACGACTGCCTCTTGTGACTTCTCCTCCTGGATGTTTTTTTTAAATTTGTGTAACACTCCAGCCAAAAGTAAGCAAACGTTGCAGTTGGCTCCTTAGGGTTATCCTAAGCAAGGTGTTCTCAGCCTCTCCCAACATGTGCTGCTGCGGGGAAGAAAGCAGGAGCCACATTGCAAACTTTGCTACCTAAAAGCTAGACAGTCGCCTAAAGGCTTTGTTTCTTGGTAGAACACTTGAAGTCCTTACAGGTGCTACAGTGAGTGAACAGTAACAAAATCCAGCTCCTATATAGATTTTTATTCATAATCCTTAAAAATTGCAACCTAAAACTAAAGGTAAGGAAATTTTTGGATGGGAAAATAAAGGCAGGGAGGCAAAATGACTTGTCAAGGTCACAAAGCAAAATCAGTACCAGTGAAGGAAATCCGCGACAACACCATTTTTACTATTGCTACTGCTACTCAGTCTAGTAGCTGTCAGTAAGAATTCAAATGAGCAAGGAAAAAAAAAAATAAAAAACCCAAATGCCTAAGTTTGTCTGTCACAGAGCAGTGGAGTGCTTCTGCTCTGTGAGGAATACCAGGAAAGGTTACCAGCTGTGCATGTTTTTAGACAGCAATTTGTGCTGAGTACAGCCTGCTTGGGGATAACAGAAATGTAGTTGCAAGTATTTGATAACGGTGTAAATTATGCACAAAATACCTTTAACGTTAATGGAGACAGACACAGGCAGAGAGGAGACTGTAAGAGTGGGTATACTGAGTTAATGCACAGTTCCAGAGGAAGAGAGAGGCTGTTAGCCATGTTGCTCTCAAGAACCATGTATCTGGAGATCAGTGAAATCTGGCAGATCTTTCGAGGAAGCCTCAACAGCCAAAATATAACGACTCATTAACAACACAAAATGAGATGAACCATAACAGGTAACTTCCTGATTCATCTAGCTAAAGCTTTATGAAACTTAAGAGACAGGGAAACTGAAGTATCAAAGGAATACTCAAAGAATGAATGTTTTCTAAAGCAATTCTACAAAAGCCTGCAAAATTCTTCACTTCAAAACATTTGCAAAAAACAAAGAGGGGAAGAACGTCAGTCAAATCCAGCCCCATTAAATTAATCATAAATCAAGGTCACCTATTTTTAAATGAAGTAGGCTGTCAGAAATAAAATTCATCTGATAAAACTATCACATACTTTCAATTATATTTCTGTTAGCCCTCAAAATGCTGAGCTCAGCATGAATTATCAAAATGTGCTCAATCCATAGTCTTTATTGCTACCGGAGATAGAGAAGAATTATACAATTGTATGATGATCTAACCAGGAAACACCTACATGTTTTTAGTTAGCTGCATATCCCTTCCAACACAGTTTGTACCTCTAGTTTCAGGTAAAATAAATTCCAGACGGAAGCTAAACAGATAGTGACAGAGACATTACTGAAGTATCAGTGCTTTAGTGTTCAAATTTCAGCTTTACTAAGGTCTTCGAGTCCCAGAATCACAGCATCATATACCCATATATTTAAATGACAGTTTTGAGAAAAGAAATTAATCCTCCCGGACAGACAGGGAAAAAGGCATTCAGTAAACTATTTGGTCACTACTCCACCACTGGAGGAACATATTCCATGATGTATCGAGTGATCTCAAAATGCAGCAATATTATAGCTCCTTAATATGCAAGTACACATGAAACACCTCATAGTGCCAAACTTGTTTATAATTGCATAGTTATGCATGCTTATAGTTTTATATAAGGTACAATTATATTTTGAAAGTACATGCTCCTAGAAAACAAGTTTCTCTTGACCTGCTCAAAAACCACCCTCATTTTACCCTTCATGGCAGGAAACTTCCTGCAGATAGGTATGCAGGACATAAACCTTGAGAATTTGCCTCATCGCTTTTCTTTCCGTAGAAATGCAGACAAATGTGTAAAATTTGTAAAAGGTAGGATACTCTAAACAGTGTATCATTCGGCTCTACATCGCATTCCCCAGGAGCAGCAGGGGCTAGGTCTAGCGGCTGAACTTACAAAAGTTGGTCAAAATGAAAAACATAGGCAGGAGCCTACGTTCTAGCAACGCTGCTCGTATAAAGAAGCTAGCGTCAGTCACACTCTGCACTTACCAAGACACGTCAAGTCACTGGCTCTGCTAACAAAGATTACTGACCAGTCACCTCTATCACTGCATAGCAGGGGATGCTACAAGGTAGAAACTGCTATGGCGTAAGAAACCCCCACATCTTTGTCCCACACCTGGAATTCCTTGGGGAGGCAGCAAACTGGCCTACCCTAAACAGGACGGTAGGAGCCAGCTACCACAGATGAGGAGCAGGAGCCTGGAACAAAATAAGGAACAAGCCAAACTGACAGCCAAACGGTTGAACACTCATTCATGCAAGGCAGCTGCACTGGTTTCCGCCCTGCACATACCAGGCAAGATTTTTAGGAAATAGCCTGTCATCCAGGCACTTCAGAGGATCTACCCACTGTATTAAAAAATCAGCTTCCATTAGACCTGTCCTAAGTGACTGCTCATCAGTATGAGGGCTACATAGGCAAGCCCTTAGTATAAACAGTATATGGAAAAGGATCACACAGAAAGGTTTCTTTGAAGGCTAACCAAAAGATGATCACATTGTGCACTCTACTGCACTGAACACTCGCCAATGGCTTTACTTTGACAGAACATATGCCTCCTTTTTGTTTTTTTACAGTCCTTTTATTGACTTGACTTCAGTGATAAAGCAGATGGCCACAGGGGAAGGAGTCTACAGTGGCTCCAGTGCAGAACAGACAGCATATTTATCAGCTACAGTTAATGCAGCAGGTGTACCTGTCTCTTCTGTACTTCTTCTCAGTGTTTACGTAGCTGAGCAGAAGTTCAAAATTCTTATACACATGCTCCAACTCTCCCCAGATAAACAGTGACCCAACTTTCCTTATTGCTTTCCATCTTAATTTTACATGCACTTTTTGCAGACTTTACTATGGAAAACAGCTTTCCTTTCCACCTGTCAGTTCTCCCCAAATGTATTCAATAAATCAACTCTCATTTGTTAAATTTTTATTTAGCTTATATCTGGTAACAATATTTGGTATTGTTACTGTAACAATTCATTGTATTGTTATTTGGCTCTGCTGAATTTTGTGCTTATTTAGATTTGATTTTAATCCATAAAATCCCTTTGCTATTACAGGTGACTTTCATACATATCAACAGCTGGAAAGGCAAGAAGCCAAGGCAGAAAGCTTGGCTGATAGTCATGTGCCACTAGGAAGGTTATGCCCTGTGCTCCCAGCTGCCAGCATAATCCCATCTCCACATTCATCTTCCTCCATTCTCACTGTCCACAGCAAGGAAACGAGTTGTCAGCCTTACAATCAAAGCAGCGTTTTTGCTTTTTCCTCTAAAAAAAGATCTCCAAAAAAGGCACTGGAGAGTTCTGCCCTACCTACAGCAATGCTTGAAATGCTGCAGCCCTTCTAAGATACCCCGGACTGTGCCTTCCTAGCACCCAGCAATCCTTAAGCTAAACTTGCCCTCTCTACTCTCTTCTAATACAGGGAATCAGTGTTGCTTTTCCTATGCAAACACACTCGAGGCACATCTACCCCAG